AAAAAAAAAAAAATTGGTGATCACATGCAAAGAAGGAAAAAAACAAACCACATAAAATTATTTAATAAAATCTGTTTATTTAGAAAGCAAATTCATTTTCCTATATCATATTCTTGATTTAGAACATTTCATGAGAATTTGACCAAAATATAAATAATTTTTAAAAATGTGTCAAAAAGGGGAAATAATTTTTAAAAAATAAAAATCACCGCCCCCACCAAGTATTCACAAAAATTACATGTTATTATTATTTTACCTTTTAAAAATTACTTCAAGATTTTAAAAAATAATAGAGATTTTAAACTTCATGGTACTGTTAGTCAAAAAGTTTATTGTTTTTTTAACAAAGATAAATTTATCATGCGCTATATTTGATTTATAATTTTATTTTCTTAGCATTCCTAATTTAAAGCACTAGCACACTGACAATGGCTTTTAAAATCTATGCAATCAAGAATTATTGTATTTGGTGTTATTTACATTTGCAGCACTTAAAAACTGCATCACTTAAAAACTGCATCACTTTCAGTAAATCATCATATGCTAAAATAATTTCCTCGGTGAAGTCTGTTGAGAATAAAACGTCAGGTAGCTTCACTTCATCTATATCATAGTTTTCTTTTGAACAATCCTGACGAGATTATAGCTGTCATTATCAACAAAATGGCAAAAGGGATTGGTCCAGTGCTGTTCTCTTTACTTAGAATGATATATTCAGTTATCAACTGGTCAACACCACACAGGAATGAATGGTATGATTTCAAAATCTGATTTGACAATATTTGGTTTTTCTCCCCAATAATTGCCTAGAAAGACACCATCAGTTTTGGTTTTGTTCACAAAAGAAAATCCATTTGCTGTCATATTATTTGAAATAAGTGAGGCTTGTCTAATTTTCTCTCCACTGAATCAAGTTCACTTTGCATAGTTTTTCCTCATTGTCTGTTTCAATATTATCAACTTTGAAGAATGTCTTATTTGAATTTATCTGTTTTGGGGATACAGCATGAGCCCACAATTCATGGTAGTAGTGAAACATTGTTGCTGTTGACAAGTATTTTTGTACACTGAGGACTTGTGCAGTTGACATGAAGGTCCCATGGTAGTTGAATAGGTGTATTTTACAAATGTTTCAACCAAAT